GATCCAGATGAAGAGAAGGAACCAGAATCTAGTGATGATTATGAGGGAGAAGAAGATGATGACAGTGAGCTGGAGGAGGAGGATGAAGAGGATATGAATGAGGAAGATTTTGATGTGGAGGAGTAAGTCATGAGGATGGATACCTGCTGTCCTCCATTGTTGTGTGTTAGCAGAATATAGTGTTACAGCATTTTCTTTCAGAGATCTAATGCATTTCACCTCTAAATTTAGGGATGACACGGGTGATAGAGCAAGAAATGCTTTACGCAAGGTGACCTTTGACGTCCCTGACGATGACAGTGAGGGGGAGGATGTGGAAGCTATTCTAGGTGGAAAAGCCAAAAACATGCCTAAACCGGAGTCCAAGTCATCCTTTGAAAAGAGACAGGAAAAGGTTTGTCGTTGATCACTTCGTGATCTTTAACTGAAAAAAAGTATTTAATCAAAATCTGCATATTTAATTATTTCAGTTTTGGTTCTTATTTGTGTCCAGTTAGTGATTTTTAGTGCTTCAGCTTTATCATTTTCATTGAGCTTTTCATGTATTATGTATGCTTCATTTCAGCTTTATTTCAGTTAATGTTTTAGTTGACAATACTAACCCTGATTTGATATGAATTTAAACAGATGGCAAAAAAGATTGAAGAACTGGAGAACGCTGCCTTGTCCGAGAAGCCGTGGCAGCTGACAGGAGAGGTGAGCGCTCAGACTCGACCGGAGAACAGCATGCTGGAAGAGGATGTGGCGTTTGACCAGGCCTCTAGGATGGGTGAGAGCTTCACGCTGATCGTCACAGCAAAAGACTTGATGCCTTGAAAGTCTTTATAGATTTGTTCCTCTCCTCCACAGCTCCAGCCATCACAGAAGAAACTACCTTACAGCTTGAGGAGATTATCAAACAGAGAATCAAAGATCAGGTTCGTTAAAACCTCATGTTCTGTGTTTAATGTTCATGGACCTAATTTGATGCCATCTTTGCTTTGAAGAGATAAAGGCAAGTGAAGTGGCTTGAAATCATTTCTTAATCCATTTTGTGCAAATTGTCCATTGAATTGTATACCACAATTTACTTGGGAATGTTTTTATGAATGATTGTCACTGCTTGTTTCATAAATATGACTCAGTGTACTTCACTTTTTTGTTGTTTTATGGTTGTGCTTCAGGTGTGGGACGATGTGGTAAGGAAGGAGAAGCCTAAAGAGGAGGTGTTTGAATATAAGAAGAGACTCACTCTGGACCACGAGAAGAGCAAACTGAGTCTGGCTGAGGTTTATGAGCAGGAGTATATCAAACAGACACAGGTGAGTCCTGTCTCGCATTTCACCTCCTGCGCATTCTTATGTACAGTTATAAAAACTATTTGGGTTGTAATTTGAATGAAGTCTAAAATTGTGTTTAATGTATATAAAAATGTGAGTTACATAGTACACAGCCATTCAAAAGTTTGGAATGATTAAGAGCTTTTTTGAAAGAAGTCTCTTATATTTACCAAGGCTGTTTATTTAATCAAAAAAATCTAAATGCTATTAAAATTTAAAAGAACTGTTTTATATTTGATTGAAAATGTAATTTAATACATTATCTAGTATAGTATATATAGTATACTGTCAATATGGTAACCATAAAAAGTATTTCAACACAAGTCAGACATTAAAATGTCAATTTTGTTGCATTAGATGCAAAATATCAAAACATCTGGCATTGGTTGAGCCACTTTTTTGATTATTTTTTTTTAACTCTTTTCATGGATGTATGAAGTCAGTTCCTGTCACATTAACAAATGAACATGTTCCACAATGTTTGCCAACCAGAATTTTTTTTTTAAAATATATATCTTCATATGTTAAAACCTAACAAGCTTAATTTTGGGGAATGTTAGGTCTGAAAACTAAAAAGTATGCCTGTGCTGTATTTCTTTAAAGGAAATGTTACTTGTTTGTTACACAATTTGTGATACATGTTACATAAAATTTAAATGAGTATTTTAATGATTTCGATACTTTTTGGGGCTGCTGTAATGTTCAATAAATGCATCCAATGAAAAAATACAAGTTATATATTTATTCATTAACATTTTGTGATTATGTTTGCTAATAGTGTTTACTAAATGAATACATTTATATACTCATTTAAAATGTAATTTATTCCTATGATGGCAAAACTGACTTTTCAGTATCCATTACTCTGGTCTTCAGCATCACATTATCCTTCAGAAATGATTCTAATATGCTGATCAAGAAATATTTCGTATTATCAATGTTGAAAAATATTGTTGTGGAAAATATTTTTTTGTATGAATAGAAAGTTCAAAAGAGCAGCATTTAATTGAATTAGAAACCTTTTTTAACATTATAAATGGCTTCCCTGGCACTTTTGATCAAATGAATACATCCTTGTGGAAGAAGTATTAACTTCTTTAAAAAAAAAAGTCTTACTGACCCTAAACTTTTATATTGTATTATATTATATTTTTGTATGGGCTTCAGGAAAAGAAGGAAGAGGAAGAGAACCCAGCGCATATAGAAATCCAGAAACTCATGGACACACTCTTCCTTAAACTGGATGCGCTATCAAACTTCCACTTCACACCAAAACCAGTGAGTAAAATTGTCCTTGTGGCTTGAGCTAGCTATAGTATCTTCCTGCATGTGTGACGAGAAAAACAAACAAAACTGATACCTAAAGAAATGTTCAAAAACCTTTCAATTTAGCTGTTCATTGAAACAGCTGATGTAAATCTGGAAACATTGCGTTATATTGGCCTAAACATGTCAAATGGATTTCTGATCTCTCTGTTTAGCATATTCCTGAAGTGAAAGTGGTGTCCAACTTGCCTTCTATAACTATGGAGGAAGTGGCTCCAGTCAACGCCAGTGACGCCACACTGCTGGCTCCAGAGGAGATTAAGGTTTGTGTGGCCTGCTCGTATCAATTCAAGTTAGAAAACCTCACTTTTAAGTGTTTAGGAAAGAGTTTGCTTTGTAGTTTATGAGTGAAACATTTACACAAGTTAGATCTCCGAATCTTCCTGAGATGACGATGCGGTTTTTTATTTTCCCTTATCTCAGGAGAAGAATAAGGCAGGAGACGTACTCGGAGACACCGAGAAAACCACTACAGATAAAAAACGAGAGAGACGCAAGAAGAAGAAACTGAAGCGTCTGAAGATTCAAGAGCGGGAGAAGAGACAGAAAGTCAAAGAGGCGATGAAAGGAGGAGACAAGAAGAAGAGTAAAGCTGAGGTTGAACAGACTCTCAAGAAACTTACTAAAGGAGGAAAAGCCAAAATACTGACGGTCAGTAACGAAGTCAAATGCAGCATTAATGAATACAGTTAAGCTATTGTGTTTTTGTTTAGGTGTATAACTTTATTTTTTATTTTTTTCCCCTCCCGTTCATTCTGACAGAATGATGGCATGGATAAGGCCCTGCGTTCCTCTCAAGCCTTCTTCTCCCAGTTACAAGACCATGTCAAGAGCCAAATCAAGGGCTCAAAGGGCCAGACAGCAAAGAAGAAGAAACAAAAAGAGATTTCTGTAAACAAGCTTAAGTTGTAATGTTGACTTGTGTCATAAGCAATATGTACAGTTATTAGTTTTAAGAGAAATCTAATTGTATCCTGTCATTTTTTTTTTTTAATTAAAATACAGATTTCTTTTTCCTGTACATTTGAGTCTTGGAGTTTTATCTGTATATTTTTGGACTATATTAAACTTAGTCTCACTATTAAATCTTTAAACAATAAAAAATATTGTTCACTCTTACTATAAATATTGCTTGTGAAGAGATAGAAAGTTCTTTTACAGATCACCTCAGAGAACTGGGAATGATATATTATTAAATTCACCATTAGAATTTAAAGTCTTTCATTAAAATCACCAGTACACATTATTCTGTCAATATAGTAATCATAAAAAGTATTTCAACACTGAAGTCACACATTCAAATGTCAATTTTGTTGCATTAGATGCAAAATATCAAAACATCTGGCATTGGTAGAGCCGCTCCTGTCACATTAACAATGAACATGTTCCACAATGTTTACCAACCAGAATTTTTTAAAGAAAAAATATATCCTCATATATTAAAACCTAACAAGCTTAATTTTGGGGAATGTTAGGTCTAAAAACTAAAAAGTATGCCTGTGCTGTATTTCTTTAAAATAAATGTTACTTGTTTTGAACTTGGGATGCACAATTTGTGATACGTTACATAAAATTTAAATAAGTATTTTAATGATTTTATAATTTCTTGTGTATAAAATACTTTTTGGGAGCTGCTGTAATTTTCAATAAATGCATCCAATGAAAAAATACAAGTTATATATTTATTCACTAACATTTTGTGATCGTTTACTAAATGAATAAATGTATATACTCATGTTCAGTTAGTCATAGCACTAAGTGGACAGAAGAGGGCATTACTGTTGACTTTAGTGCTCTGTAATGTTTTCTTTCTTTGGTTACAGCTAGTTTCAGCTGAACTTGTGTTCTGAGAATGTTAACCAATTAGATTAAAGAAAGCTTTTACTGATTTCTAAACTCGTAAAACTATTAGAAAGCAATATTTAATGTCTTAAAGAACAAAAAAGGCAGGTTTCCATTCAAAGGTGGCAATTCTTTTTATTTGCATGAAAATCTGAAGAGCCAAATTTTGCATATTGCCACACAAGGCTCCCCCCTGAGCTCACAAACAAAAACTAAAATTAAGAACTCTCTACACAGACACAACTTACCAACCAATGATATCTAAACAACTTCCACACCAAGCTTTGGAATTAGTCAGAGCTGTTCCATTCACACACCAGAAGGAAAACTCCTGTGATGTGTTTTGTAGCTTTTTAATATCCAGAGTGGGAAAAAAAATGAACAGGTACACTGCAATCAGGGCCCACAACAAGGCACAGAGGATTTGTACAATATCCCTGTTTTAGTTTCTTTGCATAACTGAATAAATATCAGTGCTGTTTGACAAATCAAACTGTGCCATTAGAAAAAAAGCACAGTTTTCATACTCCAGACAGCATTAGTGGTAAACTACACACATACTGTGCATTACTTCAGACTAGTTAAAGAGTATCAAGGGAAAAGGGTAAGTACCAGTTCTAGGAAAAACAAGTAAAAGAATATAAATTGGAAGAAAAAAAAAATACAGTCCCCAACCATAATAAAAATCTATAATTAAAAAGGCTACATATCAAACCAAGGCGTCACTGTCACACTAGTAAAGTAACTCCAAATAAAAGCAAGTTCACAGGTGCATTAGCACATCTTTCTCAAACGAATATGTCTAATCTGACACTCAGATGCTGTTTGAGACACTGACTGCAATGCAAGTCAAATCAACCGGCTGATTGGCATTAGCAGCTGTCAGTCACCTTCAAACAGCCATGCTGTGCTTTAGAAAGCGACGGGTCTCACAGACCAGAATCCAGCCAGCCTGAGAGGCACCCATATGTGCAGTTATTGCCTGCTATAAGGGTTTAAACCGATAAACCCTGTCAATTCCTTTATCAAGTTTCACAATTTTGGTTATTGATTTTAATACAGCTAACTACGGTTAGACCTTACCAGAAGGTTTCAAGAAAACTATTTTAGGATTAAAAGATAAAATATATGCACATTTTATACCATAGATTTAAGTTATAGTTCTACAAAAACACTATATAATAAAGTTGAATTCGTCACATCAATTAATGCATTAGGTGTCAAGAACCAGGTTAATGTTATTTCTACATATACTGTCATTTTAAGTTTGTATAAATGAATATTAGTAAACGCATAATGAATAAATGATGATAAAAAGAAATGCTTTTTGATAATCAAATCAGCATATCAGAATGATTTCTGAAGGATCATGTGATACTGACGACTGAAATGATGACTGCTGAAAATTCACCTCTGCTGTCATAAGAGTAAACATTAAAATAGAAAACTTACTGACCCTAAACCTCTGAATGGTAGTGTGTATTCACATGGAAATGTAATATTAGCTGTAAAAATAGTTTATTGTTAGTTCATGATCCCTAATGCATTACCTAATGTTAACAAATTGAACCTTAATATAAAGTGTTACCAGTTCTACTTCCTTTCCAACTAATGCCACAAGCTCCACACAAAAATCCACCAAATCTTTTAACACCAGGGGAAAAGTCCACACAGGCAGTGTACAACTGATCCAAACAATCCTAAGTCAGAAAGATGTGCGATTGGAGCTTTATATTCAATCATGTGCAAAAACAAACCCTCATTGACTGACAACGCTCAACAGACTGAATAAAAATGTCCAGGTAACTGTCAGTACCACAAGCCTGCACATTCCAAATGAGACCTAAATACAAGTGAAAAGATCTTCCTGCCCTCAAATCGTCTCATTAGCCAGTGTCTCCGTAGAGAGCCAGATCTTGGCTCCGTTGAGTAGCTTGCTAAGAGGAGTCCCCAGGATGCCGGGGCGACACAGGTTGCCCACGGGAGAGAAAGGGAACGAGGAGCTGAGGTACTCTGGAGGAGCAGGGGACTGGTGAGGAGTCGGAGTCGCCTTAAAGTACATTTTGCTGTGCTCCGCGTGCAGGTTGTTAGGAGTACCCGCTGCTCCTTGGTACTGCCTCAACTGGTTCTGGAGCATTTCAATCTCGTCTGTGAGCACTGAGAGCTTGTGGAAGGCGGTGATGGGGCCGCCCTGAGGAATCTGTGCCTCGGGAACCCAGCGCAGGAAGTAGAGCTTCCAGACAGAGAGGTGAGATGGGAGGAGCTGGGGGAGCAGCAGGCCCTGTAGGTCGACAGGACGAGAGAAAAAGTCCCGAACGAAGCGTTCTGATGGGGTCTCCTGCTGCTCCCGCACCTGAGACAAATCAGAACGGAGACGTAGCACGAGGGAGTTCCGGCGTGCCAGGGTGTCGTTCGGTCCGAGCGAGCCGTTTCGCAAAGCAGAGGGCAGACCCCGCAGCGTGGAGCTGTAGTTTTTCTGAGGAAGAAGCCAAAAATAAATAATAAATATCATTATCTTTCAGGGCTCTGAACCGGTTCAAGGAACGAAAACCGAGAAACGAACAAAATTTTGATTTCCGAGAAACGAACGAAATCGAGTTTCATTTAACAGTTCTGAACAGAATCGAAAATTTTAAATGGCCATTAACCGGTTAATAACGTTATTTTATCGTTCCATTAGATATTTGAATTTTGCAGTTAACCAATCATGAATTTAAGTAGTACGGCCAAGGAAAATGTAACGTTGACGCACGCATCCAACGAGTAAAATGCCCGCACTAAGCTTTAAATTCATTATAGCTAAGTGGCAATGGCAGCCTACCGATTTAGGCTGTTTTTTTTCTCTCAGAACCAAATTTTATACGAGTAGCATTTTTTAAAATCATGCAGCAAGCATTTTTAAATATCTCGAAAAAAATACTTTAATGTCTTTAAAGCGTTGACAGTTTTTTCTTTCGTTTAATACATTTGGCCAAAATCTAGAAAATATGATGCTGTATCGGCTGTGTCTAAGCGCAAGATACCAGATCAAGACCTTTGTTTTTTCTTTTTGATTAAAGTAAACACTTAACTTTAATATTATTATTATTATTATTATTATAGGCAAAGAAAACGTTATTAACTGGTATTTTTTCTACTCAAACCGGTTTCGGAACAGTAATAATACAGAGGAATGCAGGAACAGAAATGTTTAAATACCGTTTCTGCTCAAGGTGAACCACTTACATTTTTTATCTTTTACCTTTTGCTGTTGACCGGTATTACCTTAGAGACAACAAAGTCCACTGTATACAGACTAGCAGAGATAAAGAGCTCACCTTGCTGCGCCTGTGTGTGAATGTCTTCACTGTGCCATTCTGCACACAGGTGGCGATCTTGCCCACGTACAGGGGGCAAAGAAAACGTTATTAACTGGTATTTTTTCTACTCAAACCGGTTTCGGAACAGTAATAATACAGAGGAATGCAGGAACAGAAATGTTTAAATACCGTTTCTGCTCAAGGTGAACCGCTTACATTTTTTATCTTTTACCTTTTGCTGTTGACCGGTATTACCTTAGAGACAACAAAGTCTACTGTATACAGACTAGCAGAGATAAAGAGCTCACCTTGCTGCGCCTGTGTGTGAATGTCTTCACTGTGCCATTCTGCACACAGGTGGCGATCTTGCCCACGTACAGGGGATTATTAAAGAGAGTCTGGTCTTTAAGACTGAACTGTTGAGACCAGTCCCATACTGGAGGAAAGCGCAGAGCCTGGTCCTGCCCCAGGTGAATACTCTTACTGCTTGCAAAATCCTGAAGAGATGAGAGAGAAAGAGGCAAACAGACATAGAAAGGGAGAAGTCAACTAAAAGAGGTAAAAATAAAAAATAAAAAAACGAAATAAATACACTGATAAAAATTAGTGACTTGATATGATATTACAATAACCTATTGTAAGATAGTGGCTTTACATGGGTTGGACAAAATAATGTGAACATTTGGGAGATATCTCTTTCAATATTGCTTTGGCTATAAACAGCCTACAATTAGGACTAATTCATTATTTAAGCAAGAACTGACGACTGTTAATAATAAACAATTATGAAAAAAATTAATACATAAAAATATTTGTAAAAATATACTGAAAAAGGACACTTCTGTTGTCACTTTGTCACACTGAAGACTGGAGTAATGGCTGCTGAAAAATTCCACTTTGCCATCACAGGAATAAATTACATTTCAAAACAGATAAATATAGAAATTAACTTATTATTATTTTAAATTCCTATAATATTTCACAATCACAGTTTTTTATGAATTTTTTATCAAATAAATGCAGCCTTTGTGAGGATAAAAGAATCATACTGATCCCAAATGTTCGAATGCTAGTGTATACATTTATATTTATAATTAAATATAAATTTAAATGTATACATTTATAATTATATATAGTATATTAGTTTAACTAAATAAACCAACAAGCATGCAAACCTTCTGTGCTCTGCTATTTCATTTTAGGACTGTTTACACCAAGGACGATAACTATAACAATAACTATCAAGTTTTAATAATCATTGATACAACAACTAATTAAACAAACTTAAATTAAAGGGGTCATATGATGCGATTTCAATTTTTCCTTTTTCTTTGGAGTGTTACAAGCTCTTGGTGCATAAAGAAGATCTGTAAAGTTGCAGGATTTCATCTAGAACCTGTCCTCTTATTTTGTCACACTGTAGACTGTACAGGAGCGCCAAGTGAAGCACACAAACACGACTGAACGAATGAAGCCATTACTCTGCTTATAAGTAAGTGGGAAAGAAATCAAATGGAAATAATAAACATGTCAATTGTGATTGTAATATGTATTGACACAACATATTGACACTATGAAAGCAAACCTCTGGAAATGGTCAAAAGCGGACAAGCTCAAATCATTTTATACCCCGTTTACACCTGTATTTAACATTGTTTACTTGTGACAGGATGGTGTAAAGGGGGTCAAAGTGAACAAGGCAATAAACAGATGACTTACCACGAGTCAGCTTAGATAATTTGGATAATTTTACAGATTTTAATTCTCAGAGTAAGAGTATCAAGTGTTCAAAAACTGTATTTGCAACTAACCTGTTCTTAATGGCACCAGGAGGCACTGTGTGGGTTTCTTGGAATAACCAAAAATATTCCTGGCCCTAACCGGAACCCAAGCTAAATAATTAACATGAATAAGCCTGGTAAGGATTTCCTTAAGGAGTTAAAGTCTTATTTAACCGAGTGTGTACCGCAATCATCCCTTTCTCCAGCAGGCTTTTGATTACCTATAACACAAATCTGCCTCAGTTTCAGCAGAGCAGCCTGAATATCCTGGATGTTTGGGAGGTTTTTGTCCAAATCCAACTTGAAGACATCACTGCGGAGGGGGTGGCTCTTAGTGATGGCACTGCAAATCCTGCAGAAACACAGAGGATTTAACCACATTTTCTGAAAATGACTGCCTGTATTGTTGTATCTGAGCAGATCTGGCAACCCTACTGAGTTTATGCTGCCAAATGATCTGAGATGAGCAAACAAGCACAATCACAACATTTGATACAATTTCCAAAGCCATGAAATAATATTTGGGAAAATAACTGTTTATAGAGTATATTATCAGCTAAAGTGAATCTACTTTCCCACAACAGTACGATTACTGCTTTGTTTCACCTTAAAACTGTGGTCAAACCAAATCTCTTAATTAGACTGCAATTCTCTTTTTCTTACCGCTGCTCCACCTTCCTCTGTTGCTGCAGGTCACTGATGTTAGACATGCGGACCAAAGCGCTCCCACTGGAGTGATTCCAGCACCACAACTACAAAGCAAAGTGCACACACATATGTGACCCTGGACCACAAAACCAGTCTTAAGTCGCTGGGGTATATTTGTAGCAATAACCAAAAATACATTGTATGGGTCAAAATTATAGATTTTTCTTTTATGCCAAAAATCATTAGGATATTAAGTAAAGATCATGTTCCATGAAGATATTTTGTCAATTTCCTACCGTAAATATCTCAAAACTTAATTTTTGATTTGTAATATGCATTGCTAAGGACTTCATTTGGACAACTTTAAAGGTGATTTTCTCAAAATTTTGATTTTTGTGCACCCTCAGATTCCAGATTTTCAAATAGTTGCATCTCGGCCAAATATTGTCCTAACAAACCATACATCAATGGAAAGCTTATTTATTCAGCATTCAGATGAAAAATTGACCCTTATGACTGGTTTTGTGGTCACATATATAAAAATACTCTACAAATGTCTAATATTAGCCTACATATGTTGACACACATGGTTGACTCACAACTATTAAGTGCAAATCAATCTACCAGGACTATTAGGAGCTTAAATAAGACATGCTTTCTCATTCTGCAAAGTTTTTAACCAAGACACTAACTGATTACTGACTAATTCTCTCTGACTAAGAGCAAAACTGACTGGGGTAATAAAAGTGATTTGTAGATTTCCTCTCCTCTCCTCTCACTCCAAAACCAATAATCCAGTCTGGTAAAAGGCGCTCACCGGGATGCGCTGGGAGTAAAAGCAGCAGGCGTACTGCTTCAGATCCTGATCTGCTAGAGATACTGGAACCACAAAGAACTCTGGGAGACTGTAAACAACAGAAAAAGTAGTTAAATCTCCCACAAATGTCTCCTGACACTGTAAAGCATAATCAAATACATGATGCTTGTTTTTGTCAATATTATAAACACAATGACCGGATACTGAACTGTGTGTGGATCAGTGAGATCAGTGCTTTCATTCCAGAGGATTACTGCAGAAAGGACAACATTCCTGTCTGTCTGAGCAGATTTATGTGAACCGCTCATAATTTAATCAGTTATCCTCATTTTCACAGAGATTTATTAGGATGACTAATTCAAGTTCCGTTTTACAATAGCCGTTTGTACTGCACATACTCATACCTGTGTTTCTGTCACATTCACTTGCTACATGAATGTTATGAGTCACGCAGCAATGATCTTCAGTGTAAGATGCTTATAATACAAGCCGTTTGCAAAACAGACCACAATTTACATGTAAACTCACATATATAAACTCACCTGGGCGAGATGAAATAGCCTTGATTTATGGTACACACCCTCCATTCGGAGGCACCAGTACGCTTGATCTCTCTGTCCCAGTCTGAGGAGCAGTCGAACAGGGGGGTCTGCAGCCCCCCGCCAGGGTCAACACCGTTCACCCGCTCACCTGAACAAACCACATGTGTACATGCTCAAACAGTTGCGTAGGGATGCCAACTCATGAGGGGTGAAAAATATGACATATATATTTTTTAATTATTAGATTATAATAATACATATAATAAAAAAAAAACTTGACAATGAACATATACTACCTAAAGTCTAGGGTCAGTAGGATTTTTTCTAAAGAAATTAATACTTTTTTTTTCAGAAAGGATGCATTAACAGTAGACAGTAAACATTTATAATGTTACAAAAGATTTCTATTTCACACAAATTTCAAATAAATGCAGTTCTTTTGAATTGAATCTATTTATTAGGGAATCCTGAAAAATGATATCTCTGTTTTCACAAAAATATTAAGCAGCACTGTTTACATTTTTGTTAATAAGGAATGTTTCTTAAGCACCAAATAAGCATATTAGAATGAGTTGTAAAGGCTGCTGAAAAGTCAGCTTTGCCATTACAGGAATTGATTACATAAAAATAAATAAATAAAACTAGGGATGCACCGAATGTTCGGCAACCAAAATCATTTGGCCAAAAATAGCAACAAAAAAAAGCTCTTAAGCGAAAATACGCGAAAGACCGAATACATTGTACTGAACAATAACGTGACGCGATTAAATAGAGGTGCGCACTAATGCAGCAAACATATTACTTATTAATTTTAAGTTAAATTGTGCTTTGTTGGTATAATGTCTGCTATAATGTTACAAAATGTTCAGTGTCAAGTAAATATTTTTAAATTGTTGTTTTGTAATTGATTGTTTCTTTGAAAAGCAGGACAAAACAGTAAAAAGCACATTTTGGCTATTTAATTTATGCAATGGTGAAAAAATACATGGTGGGAAAAAACGTGTTCGGTATTCGGCCTTCAGCCCAGTGTTTCATTTTGCTCGGCTTTGGCTTCGGCCAAGAATTTTCATTTCGGTGCATCCCTAATTAAAACAGTTATTTTAAATGGTAATAATATTTCACAATATTACTGTTTTTATTTTATTTTTGATCAAATAAATGTAGCCCTGGTGAGAATGAGACTTGAAATGAAATGAAACATTTTAAAAATGTACAGATCCCAAACCTTTGAATGGTAGTAAAACAGCCCTCTTCAGATCTAGTTAAGTGACATATTTTACATCGAAAGGCAGAATGCATTAGGTTTGCATTAGCGGTGGCGTCACATGCTCCTCTGATCAGGATCAGGTTACATTCTGTCATGTCTTAAAACTACTTGTTACAATGCAGCCCAATAATAGCAGCCATATAAATCTTATTATAGGCCGTGCTATTCATAACATGAGCACTTTGCATTCCCTGGAAAGTCTTCTCATGTCTTGACTTGCAGGGAAACTGAATGTATGGATAGCTCAACTCAATTTGGCAGCTCTTGTGGAAACAGTGCAAATATTTGCTGTCACGGCCGCATGAGTGTTTTCCTACCTGTTGATCCATGATATCGCTTTCCGACGTATTCAAAGCCAAAGAGTAGCTGTGGGTCAGCAGGGTGGGAGTAATGAGCGATGGCCAGACAAACCTGTAAAAGCACATCATACATTCACATTATGACTAACACAAAATGACCTTCACTTATTCACTGTAATTTCCTCAGAAAACAGAACTGAAATGTCATTACAATAAATTCCTCCTCCTTTCGTCTCACAATACAACTGCTGACATTTACTAACAAAATGTTCCCAGACCAATTTACCCTCGCAAATTGATATGTACATCTCTAATCTTTTAAAAAGGGATTTGGAAGAGAAAATTAGCCTGTGCTGAAATAATCCATACATAAGAAATACTTCTGCCCCAGGGACTGGTAGATATACATGGTGAAGTTTGGGAATTTTTTTTCTTTTATCTGTTTTCCTGCAACACCTGTTGGTCAGTTCTCCTGTTTATTCATTCAGAAGAGCTTTTCTTGGCACAGCTGTTGGATCCAGGCATGGAAATATTCGACAGCACTGTGCACCGAGCTTGAGCTAGGCTGGACTTTCACCTTTACGACACTTTTTTTTATTTTTTTTATTTTGCTGTCTCTTACATATCTCACAAATGAGTCTTCAAATAACAAACATATTTTCTACATGACCGATGTCCCACTTGTATGAAAAGGGAATGATAATTCTGTCATCATTCACTCACCCTCATGTTTTCATACAATTTCATTTTAAAGGTATAGCTCACCCAAAAATGAAAATTCTTCCAAACCCATGAGACTTCATCTTCAAAACACTAATAAAGATATTTTTAATGAAACCTGAGAGATTCCCGTCCCTCCACTGTCTTTTGAACAAAGGTCTTAAGGGTTTGGAGGAATTTTCATTTTTGGGTGAACTATCCCTTGTACAAAAAACAACAGTCGGAACCCAGAAAACTCAAATAAGGGGTCAACACAGAACTGCACAAATTGTTTATTGTTTTTCTATATAAAAATATGCTAGATTTGTTAGAAATTTTTGAACATTGAGCTTGTGTCTTTCGCAGCATCTTGTGTGTGACACGGCACTCTAAAAACATGGCATCCAAGTTAAAAGAAGATTTTCCACTTTTGAGTTTTTCTTTATTTCACTGCCCTGCATTTCAACTCAAAAATGCACTATGCGTGAATGGCCCTTAAACCTTGTGCTTCTCAAACAAAGAATTTAATGCTTGTAGTGGTCAAAGGACAAAAACATACTTTTGCCAGCAGTGTTTTCCAATGGAGATTGCTGTAGGAAACTCTAAAGAAGAAAAACCTGCACTAGGGTCAAAAGTGCTGGAAATGAACAGTGACGACTGTACAGACTGATGACATATTAGGCATGTGAATTGAAAAGCAGCTCTGTAATTTCCAACTGGATATTATGAAATTACCAAGTTTTTTCCCCCAAGTGCCTTTGCATTAATTCCATTCTGCAATTAGCCTAGCCTACAGGAAAATGACACATTAAAATGGAGAAACACAATGAAGGAGTCCTGTCTTCACAATCCAAAAACAGTATTTGACATTTATTTCCATTTTAGTCCAATCAGAGCCGAGATGCCTAGAAAACTGCCTGCATCAGATTTCCTTAGGCTCCTACATAATACTAGCACCAGAATAAGCATTGCGCGTTGCAACGGCTGTCAAGGAAACGCACTCTACTTGCCCTTCACGTAAGCGCCATACGTTTAGCCTTCACTGGCACGGAGGAACAAAAGCATCAGGGAAGCTCTGGAACGGAACTTCAGGATAAATGTGCATGTTTGCGAAGCGCTCAGAAAGTGAGAGCCATGCTAAAAGAGCTTTTTGTGGTGCTTTTCTTGCCCCTTTCTCCCCCTTCCTTCACACATTCTTGGGAGCTGGCAGACTGTTTAGAGCTGGACTCTGGCACCTCTTTTTTCTTCCTCCCCCTTTACATCACTCCTTCTATACCTTTCGTTATTCCCCTTGGAGCTTGGGCCCTGTATTTGGTGGGTAACTGCAGGTGAAAAGCTCGGCTTCCCTCACAGTCTTTTTCCTATTACCGAAAGGAAAACTCCCTTTTCCGTTTTCAAAAACATAAACAGCTCTTAGTGCAGCCTTTGAGATTCTAGTGACTAATAAATGATGATTAACAATCCAATTCATCTGGCTCTGAGTCATGCTACAGGAATGGCCAATCAGGGCTCATTAGGCTACAGGAATGACAAACAGGAGGCCGTTCTCCTCTTCTGACAGGAGCACAGTGTGGAATGTTCGTTTTACACAAAGTTCCATGCTGCCAGGCAACAGCAGCTGTTGTGAAGCAACAGGATGGGTTTGTAGGCCGGTGTGAGTCACAGAGCTCGGAGTTCATGGTATGATCAGATCAGCTTGTCTAAAGAGCTCTTTTTATCTGCTTTATGGCGAAAATGTATAACGGGAGGGAGAGACATTCCTCAACAGAACATGCTTTATTTTATGAGGCAGAGAGCCTCTGATGGGTTTGGTGGGAACTTTCAAAATGCTCCAATATGCTTCACTGCTGTGCATTTTTGGCCTTTTAAATCTATCATTGGGGAAAAGGAAAAACTAAATATATAACTAATCTTAAAAATTAAGACATTGAGTATCTTTTAGAACATCTGATTATCTTTTCTGTCAAAGAAAACTAAAAGTTATGAAAAGTAAAAATCAAATGAGACAGTATGAAAATAAAGCAAAAAATGTTTTTGTATATATGTATAAAACAAAATATATTAGCCTACTATATTGTGAAATATTACAATTTACAGTTTAACAATTAACAGTTTTCTATTTAAATACATTTTAAATTGACAATTGATCCATTTGTTCAAGATTCTTTGATGAAAAGAAAGTTGAACAGACAACAGAACAGCATTTCTTTGAATCTGAAATCTTTTGTAACATTATAAAACCTTTACCGTCACTTTTGATCAAATGAATGTGTCCTTGCTGAATAAAAGTATTCCTTTAGGGAAAACAAAATATTGAATGGTAGTGTACGAGGTTAAATAATGTATAAATCTCCCATTTTTTAATCTCATTTTAACACCAGCTAATAAAATTTATTTTGCTTTGCTTGAGCTTGTTTTGGTCTGCCAGAGGTCCTTTAACGTGGCGTGCATGTGAAGGAGTAACTGTGCAACAAACATGAGAAGTCATGTGAGAGGAACCAGTTCCCCCACTTTGAATGGCTGGTTAAGCTGTCAACTAAACAATGGCAGACTGTTATTACTGCAACCGTTCCACAAATCGGTGAATAGAAAAAAATAAGAAAATAAATGGCCTAATTACAAAGTTAATGTGTCCTTGCTGAATAAAAGTATTCCTTTAGGGAAAACAAAATATTGAATGGTAGTGTACGAGGTTAAATAATGTATAAATCTCCCATTTTTTAATCTCATTTTAACACCAGCTAATACAATTTATTTTGCTTTGCTTGAGCTTGTTTTGGTCTGCCAAGAGGTCCTTTAACGTGGCGTGCATGTGAAGGAGTAACTGTGCAACAAACATGAGAAGTCATGTGAGAGGAACCAGTTCCCCCACTTTGAATGGCTGATTAAGCTGTCAACTAAACAATGGCAGACTGTTATTACTGCAACCGTTCCACAAATCGGTGAATAGAAAAAAATAAGAAAATAAATGGCCTAATTACAAAGTAAATAACTCATATGAATATTACCAAGTAATTTCCCATTTGAATCTAAATGATCTTGGAGTAAGAATCTACCACATGCCACTGGTTTGTGTCTCATGTGTTTGAGGGGGTATAGCAGGAAGAGATGACTCTGGCTTCTCTGTGACTCGTCATTACAGGTCTGCAGTGGGATCAGTTTCCACCAGACAGAGAAGGTGGATGAAAGCAATGCTGTCTATGTAAAAAGACAAACTATAATCCCCTCATCCTACAACCTCTCAGTAGGAAAGGGGAGACAACGAGAGAAGAGACTTCCTGAAACACCACAAGCCTAGAGTTCTAGGAATGGATTCTAGCTTAAGTAGGACACTGACAAAACAAAATGCAATCAATTTGCATAACACCGCATACACCTAAAGACAAAACACAGACTGAAATTAATAGAATTCATATTTCCACTTCATTCCAGGAGAGGAACCAATAATATGCAGGAATTTCTTGTACATGTTTACAATTTTACTTCAGGGGGGGAAAAAAAATCACCCAGACTTCAGCAGGGGGCTGCAGTCAAACCCATTAGTCCTTAATCCTCTCTCAGACTAATCCAAAAGCGCCTGGAACGTGGAGGTGTGTGAGCATGTGTGGGAGTGTGTTTGGGTGCAAGGGGCTGTGAGGTTAATGATTTTATGTGTGTTTTGTACCTTTTTAGCACTCTCGGGTCCGGCTTCATCAAAGCGGAATGATCCTTTTTGTTATGTTAACACAAATGCAGTAGCAGTTTACGAAAAGGAAAAAGGGGAACAGACACAGAAAGAGAGATTAGAGCACTGAGGTACAGAAGAAAAAAAAAGAGATGGAGAACAACCAAAGTTAGAAAAGAAGGAAACCAGTGACTGTAAAAACATTGAAGGAG